AAAGAAAGAAAATGAAACGCCAGGCATGTCTACGTTTCAGAGTTCCTTGCCTTCGGAAAGTAGTGGGGCGGGAAACACAAATGTTATTGTTATGTAGTCAAATACATGGCAATATGTCAAGAGGCCACAAATCAAAAACAGAGACTGTGAATCAAGTGAGAATGTCTGAAAGTACGCTAGCCAAGCAAAAACCTTCAGGAGTCATTCGCAGGCAGCTGCTCACTGGGGGGGGGACACGACACGGGACACGACGACGCAGGCAATCGGAATACCCGGGGCTGTGTCAGCAAAGTCGCAGAAGGCAGGAAGAAACACTGGAAGTGGACAGAGCGCAGGTTAGACCTCGCAGGGCAGGGGCCTGATGTGGGCCACCCTGATTCTCGGAACAGGAGGGCAGCCTCTAGGGGACAGCAGGCTGAGCAACGGACACCGACCAATGGACCCTGACCAACGGACCGCCATGATCCTTCCAGAGTTCGAAGAAGCCTCTTCCACCAGACGCTTAAGGAAGTCTTGAAATGCACATTTAGAAGGGCTTTGAATCTGAGACATGCTCAAGTTCGCAAACATCTACTCATGGTGGCTGAACTGAAAGCAAAAAGCTGGGAAGGGTCAGAGAAGAGGAGTCTCTTTCATATGGACTACGGAGGACAGGCAAAGTAGGATAAAGACCAGAGGAGGTGTTCAATGTGGAAGCGTGAGATCTAGGAGGCTAGAAGGGAGAGAGGGAGGCTTGTCTGGCATTTGCCTGTGTGTAAAGCCGGCTTGGGGTTCATTTTTGTTCTTTATGTGCTGTTTCAGACTATAAGTGATGTACCTTCTGCAAATCCTACCCGCCCCCCTTCCTTCTTGGAAGGCCCAATACCACTATCCACCTTAAAAGAGGGAAGTCTGCTATTTTCCTTTAAAATGTGCTGATGTGCACACAGTAGGTGAAATAAATGCATGTTTTGTTGGATTTAAATTAAACTTTATTTTAGGAACACTGCTTTCAATTTATCTTAATTAAATAATCACCTCTAGGCCGAATGAAAACTCTAAGTGCTGTCTTACAAAGTTAAGAGACAAGTTTGCATTTGGATCTTGGACACGCACTAACCAGTTCTGTGACCATAGGTCAGTTCTTTAGTCTCTATGACTCAATTTCCTTGTCTGTAAAATGGGTATAATAACCCGTACTGCTTCCCGGCGGTCACGAGGATAAAATGAGACATCACTCCAAAAACAAGAGTGTAGCCAGTGCTTGGCACAGAGAAAGAACTGAGGACGTGTGAGCTCCCTTCCCTTTCCCTAGTGCACCATAATATAATCGGATATTTAGAATTTTAATTCAGGCAATTACTTAAGTAGTAATTGCTATTTGTATTTACATAGCTGCTTTGATCCAAGAAGCTCAAAAGGCTTTACTAAATTTAGCATTTTAATAAATGTTTCATTTGCATTCCGTTGATTTTGTTTACCCACACCAAAACTTGGAATTTCCTAAAGCAAGAGAGTCAGACAAGTGAAAGGGAACAAGAGGATAGCTTCGTGTTCACAGGTAACCCAGGTCTCAGTTTTATCACGGCTCCCTGGGTCCTGGGGAATAAAATGGCAGTGGGAGACGAGAACATGCCTGCTTCCCCTTTAGCTTCTGCCCGCTGAACTTCACCTTTGCCACGCTTCTCTCAGGCACTGGCAACCGAGGTATGTTCATTGCACCAATGAATTTATATATAATCAGCACAATAAACATTATTAAATTGCCGGACGAAAATCAAAGCACGACACCCGGCGCCAGTACTGAATTCTAATGATGCTGAATGGCCGTGACTGCACAGGGACAGGATCTTAACAAGCCTTGATTTGAGCGTTGGCATCCGCCTCACAAATCACATGGGCCGTTCCTCTCGTAATAGTGCTGAATACTGATAAATGTCTCTACCCTGCGCAACAGGGAAGTGGGTTTCTATTGGCAATCTTTACCGAAGTGTGTTCTTTCCCTTCTCTACACTCAAGGGTTTACCCTGAATGATTTAATTATAATTTTCCTTGTGTAAGACAAATTAAAGAGGAGAGTAGGAGTGTCGTGCCAAGCACATTATTTATCTCCTTAACAGATTGCAGCTCACCAAACCCCAGAGCTGCTGCTACAGCGCAGCTCACAGGAGCCTGCAAAGCGCATGGGGGCAAGAGTGGGGGAGCGGGCAGTTTCCAAACGCACAGAAACATGCAGCCTAGGTGAGACTGGGAGACCTCTCGCTACTTTAAAAACACAAAAACTCTTAGGATACTGCCTTTTGCCAACACAGCTTCACACGGAGCATTCCTGAATCCTTTGAGGAAGAATTCGTAAGCTGTTCACCTAAGATTGAGTTTGAAGGGCTAGATTATTATTCAGTGTGGCAGAGGCTCTGGCTTGTTCAGATACTGCTCTGGGAGAACGGAGCGAGGGAAGGAACAGGACACGGAAATCAACGGTGAGTCTGCAGTTATGTATTTCACAAATGCACTGGTGAGTAAGGGACGAAACTTCTCCAAGGGACCCCTGTGACAAACGTCAAGTCAGTGAGAACATTTTTATAGTGATCGCTTTTTTACCGTTTTTCCACTACTTACACAGGGTATCACATTGATGATTTCAAAATAAATCCTAAGGTAAAACCAGATAGAACCTCATTATAAGTATCTGTATGTACACAAAGCTTGCTACCCAGTAAGTGAATTTTTAATGATCAGTTCTCTAAGTTTCTCACTTTTGAATTATCTTTAACCTAAGGTGCTCATTTGTCTTGTTCACTACATTCAGCTAAAAAACAGGCTAACCAGAATTTTCTTTTAATTCAGCCACAACTAGGAACCTACCCGGTACTATAAACTGAGAGATCCAAGATATTAAGGAGTGGCATATAATTTCATAGCTGCTGCTTCTTTGCATATGTAACTGGAAAATTCAGCCTGTTTTTACAGCCAGATTACAGCTCAGTAGAACCCAAATTCTTCTCTGATCCATATTCTAATTTCGGCACGTAGTATAATGATTAAGCCTCACTGGTGTGCGGATCATAAAAACAATTCAAACAAACTTATTCTCCTGGAATGAGACTGTTAGATCCCTTTACTTTCAAATACACCTTAAGACATGAAAAGGGCTATTCTTCTCCCACCTGCCTCATTGCTAATCTGTCACCTGACTGCAGATACAGACCCTTTTATGATGAAACCGAGCACAGCGCATCTAAACAAGAAGAGTTTTCTGTGTCATAGGAAATCTGTGCAGGCTCCACAATGGCCGGCAAGATGGCAACAAATACCTGAAGTGCATCGGTCGGCATTTTTCAGTGGATGGCCTGTTCTGCCTATGGATCAAGAGGTAATTCAATCACTCCACGGTAAATGGACAGCATCAACCTTAGACACCAAAAGCAAGGAGAGCAAAGGACAACAACCTAGAACCTTTTCTTTAAAGCTCTCTAAGGTTCAGTATTATTTTTTAATTACAGAGACACTGTCAGAGGTGATAAAGCAGAGCAAAGACTGGCTTCCAGACATACAAAGCTATCCTCACTGGGAACAACAGAAGCTACATTTGGCCCAATGGCTCCACACAGATTCTTACTGTCCACCATTCTATCCTTCGAATTCTTCTGAACAGGAAATTTAAAACATCTTTTACTTCGCCAATGTCTGCCACAGAAGTTCCAAAATCATCTTAAAAGGATAGCTGCAAGTTTTGGTTAAAACATCTATTATCCTCACCTCTCAGAACCTCTCACATTCTTACGCTTGCCCGGGACACACGCCCACACAGGCAGAGATATTCAGAGAGCATTTTCTGTGGTTATGGATCTTGAAACGGATAAAATGTTGCTGGTAGAAAGATACACATCTAATTAAACCCGTGGGCTTCTTAATCCTCAATAGTTCAAGAAAGGTATGAAATTATACTTGTAATTGCTCAAGTGAAAAATATCATTAAAAAAACTTTCACTGAGTCATTTTATTAAAAAACAAAATATAGAATTTGTTTTTCCTGCTGGAAGTGACATTTACTATCACACATTACTTTGAAAGTTTCTTTTCTTCTGTGTGGGGAAGCTGTGCATATGAAATAGATGGGAAACCGTTTAAAAATAGTACATTGAAAATAAAAGTTTTTAATTTTAGGAGCATTATATATATATACACTCCACTTCTGAAAAGCATTCAACAGTAGTATTAATGCTTCTGGGGTGTGAGGATCCAATAACATGAATTAACAGCTTCATTTTCTTAGAACTGTCTGCTAACATGATGTATTCTGGATATCTCAAACAGACTCGGCTTCGGCTAACATTCAAGCAAAGCTGAGGGCAATTACAGTACATAAAGTCTTAACTTCCAAAGAGGAATACAGCGACCGAGACAGCACTGCATTCCTCCTCGGGAGTTAAGACTTTATTTTTTAAATTTGTGTGTATAGACGTGGATCGTGTACGCACATACAAAGACCCCTTCCCACCTCCCACCCTTCCAAACTTCACTGAGCACTGACCAGGAAAAAGGCCATGTTCTTTGGAGGCACAACGATGCAAAAGATAGTCTCCCTGCCTTCAAGGAGGGCAGTACGTAGTGGCTAAGCTCTCTACCTTTTCTTGAAGTGTGATTCAGAATTGCCAATACCAGACTCTACTACTCCTCAGAAGGTGTTTAGAGCCCAGGCGTTTGGCTTGCATGGAGTGAGCACTGGGCATGAAGAGTAAGCCTGGACCCCTTGAAATCCAACCTATCCAGTGAGAAACTAACTCTGCCTGGGTTCTTAGGCGTAGGTTAGATCTGCATAAGTGCTAATTCCATGTTGAAAAGGTGAAAATAATTAGAAGCTTCACACCCAAACCATATTGAACACATTCTTAAGTAATTATATGCACATTCAAGTTACATGGATCCAATTAGGGATCTCTGAGATATGGCGGAGCAAGGCCACCCACCCCTTCCACATTCAAGACCGTTCCAGACGCATCTCAGTGGCTCATTCCTACCTTTCCCTTTTGGGAGTGTGGACTGAGAGCTGTCCATTGGTAGAGGCATGTGGGTTCATTATTAAGGACGTCTTGGAAGGTGCAGAGGAGGAGACACATGTCGTGGTCAGATCCAAACTGCTGTGATTGCTGCCTGTGGTTTCTTCTGCAGAATGAGCACTTGTCACTTCTTTCCAGAGCTGCTGCAGTTCTGTTGGAATCATGCCTGAAACAAACAAATTGGATAATTAAATCAATTAACAGCTAATTCCGTCCTCTTCAAACAGTAATTAAATCAAAGAGTCAGTAAACAAAGCCTAGTGTTAGGGGTTTTTTTTTTTGGTGTGTGCGTTTTTTTCCCCTCCCAACTAAGGCAAATACGGTAGTAACAACCGTGTCCTCCCACCGAACAGCCAGCCGAGTTGTAGTGCCCTCATCACACATAAAAGACCTCCGTGGAAAGGATTCAAAACACAGTTACTCTGCAAAGACAGTATGCCTCCATCCAAACTGTTGTTTCTAGATTTTTGAAAAGGAGTAGATAGATGTTATTGTATTTTTAGACACAAAGAAGGGCTCGAAATAAATTTGTTCAACTATACTATTATGACAACACAAACCACAAAATGAATAATTTTTGTGCTTAAGTTGTAAATGATGACAAATAGCTTTGTTATTAAATATAGTTTTTATTAATCACTTTTAGACATAAATTATGAATTCGTATCGTCTTCCTGAAATGCTTTTCAACTTTTAACATTCAAATTGATTATACTATGATTATTTCATTAACACACCTATCTTCCTCATTAATTTTGGTTTCTAGTACCACATGCTTAATTGATGGATGTGTCTACTGAAAAACTGTGTAACTTTTTTTTTTAACAAGTAACACTATTATTACTGTCATTTCTTAGATCAATGCTAATGAACCATTGCAGAATAAAATGCAAACGTAAAATAAACTTGCGAGTGATAAAGTTCTCTTGTTTCTTAAGGGGGTCAAAATGGACATGGGTCTTAAGGAGGAAGGGTCAAACCTGTATTTTCCCCCAGAGGAGATACAATCAGTATGTCAATCTCACTACTACGGCCTCATAACCTTAATTTTGGAGGCATGCCTCTACAGCCCAAGCTTCCCAGAACCCACCTCAGTGCATCTGCTGGCGCACGCATGCACAGAAGAAAAAGATTCTAAATAGCAGCTAACAACAACAAACAACAACAGTTCCTTCAAAAGGACAGCTAAAAGAAATCGTCAACCCTGTGTGTGTGTGCAGCATAAGGCAATTCCACATGAGAACTGGATGTCTGGACTGCAGTTCATTGTTTCAGTCAACTGTAACACAGCTATCCTAGAAAGCCTGCCATTTTCTGACTACATAGCAGCACCCGAACAGGCGTGTTTCTTACCAAACCTAAGCTATTGAATTAAAAAAGAAGGCTGTGTGCATTATATTCATTTGAAACACATAATAAAAAATGCCAAGGTCTAAATTTAATTTATTTTTGTCATTTAGAATACAATGGATAGATAATCATCTCAACGTGATCAGCCAAACATCTTTACTTTGCTAAACTGTTAAAGATTTTAATTATGCTAGCATTGGAGAGCACTGGTCTAATGAGGCGATGGACTCCAGAGAATCCGAGTGGTTAAGAACTGTGAAATGAGTCTGATAGGATTTTTTTATATTCACCGTGGATCGTTTGCATATCAAAGAGGAGTAAATTATTGCACAGCAGACCAATAACCTTCCCCGCCTTTCTGAGAGGAGCGTTAACAAAAACAGTTGGGTCTCTCCTAACGGTTCTCAACGAAAATGTTCAAATGCTCAAGTATTTGCAATTAATATATATCATAAAAGGAGGCTTCAAATGATACATTAAGTGGTCAGATATTCTTAGGACGCATCCTCGACAGCCAAGTCGGTTTTCTTCTCCCTTCATAAAAATCAAATGCCAATTATATTTTGATGGATTTTGTCCCAAATGAGCATTTAGTTATTAGGCATATTCAATTATTACTTGTCCCCTGAAATTAAGCCTCAGAGGCAAATTAAACAAAGGGAAAGGTCACTCCACAATCCCGTGTCCGGTTCTGCTGCATCTGGGCTATTATTTTCCAACACCTTCCGAAGTGACATGTGGGATGTGTGTGCAGCTAACCGGCCTGCCCTGATGTCCGCACACCAACAACTACCTGTGAACGTGGCTGACCCTCCAACCACTGTTTACTCAAATGAAACAATAGTGAATAGGCTTGTCTGTTGATGATAGCATATTGATATAAAGCCACACAAGTCAACACCTATTTTTATTTTCTAGGGAGTAAATACACATGAAAAGAACAAGCCTCCCACTTTTCAACTCAAACTAATTGATTTCTGGGTCAGCTGCATGGGAAGTGAAAAAAATGGAAGAACACGGTTTCTAACAACTGTGTTAACACTTTCCCTCCAAGAAAAGCGGAACTTTGGAGCTGTTTTAGAAATGAGCTATTTATCCAGCAAATAAAGACAAAGGCAAATGTCTGGTTACACTTGTTCACCTAGAGTACATTAATGTTACTCTGCTCTCCTTTTCTTCCAGGGGGCTGGCCAATCAGTTTCATCCCTCACAAGAGGAAATGGTAAATAAAACAGTAACTCGCTGACAACAGGCGCACTTTTGGGTCAAATTTCACTGTGATAATTACGTTTGAGAACATTCTCATCAGACTTACAGAGAGCAGTCAAATCATTCTCCTCCATCAATGATACACCTTGTTAGCAATGTTAAACTATTACTTCACTGCATACTATCTACTGGAGGATGCTATTATTTGACAGCCATGGTCTCGTGATAGAATTAAGACAGATAAAAGGCAGGCTAGTCACTCATCAGACTAAATGGATAGCAAATTTCCAAAAAGCATCACGTATTTCCTCCAATATGGTAGACAGGAATAACAGTACCAGGTTATGTTTAATCTAATTCATTAACAGGTATATATATATATATATATCTCGAGCATGTAATCTCTAGTTCATATTTTCAAAATTAAGAGGTCAGGATGATATTGAACGTCAGGGGGTCAGCATCCTCAAGAGACCAGGGAGAAAAGCGTATGTGCTAATTACATAAAACAGAGAAGACCCTGCAGTACTCTTTTAACAACAACAAAAATGTCCCTCCATTTCATACCATAAAGCCTTCAGGAAAGGAAAAAAAAAAAGGCCTTCGAAATATTACTTTCTATCTTTTCATACTTTCACATTTCTACACGTTTGAGGTGACTTAGCCAAGGCCATGAGCAGGTACGTCAAAGAATCGCGACGACGGTGTCACGAAATGGCCATTACCGTTAACACCTAGCCCCTGTGCCTTGCTACGTTCCTTTTTCCAGGACAACCGACCCCTTCATTATAAAAGAAAATGCAGACACTGGCTTAAAAAATGTATGTCGTGGGGACAGTTGACAGATTACTGCTCATGGAACTCAATTTTACAACCCCAGGTATCACTGGCTCAAAGACAAACAGAGTTGATCAACCTTTTTTTGTCCTTGTACATCCATACCCAGGTGACCATGTTCAAGCAAGCAGAAAGTTGATTTAAACCTCATAATGACATCAGTTTTAAGCCATCATGTCTCTGATAGAAAAAAATTGTGTTGTAGTCCAACATGACTGAGTTCTCGAGCCACTTTGGGCAAGGGGATAGGAGAGACAGAACCAACCTCCGGATCCCACAGAAGATGGCAATGACGGGAGCTCACTTTGCCGCCACAACCTGACTCCCGAAATACCGTATTTACATTTAGGTATCTTGGGCACACATCAGGGCACCCCTCAGATGTTAAATATGCTCCTTCCTAATGTTGCAGGGGCTAATAGTTATAGCAGATTGCTAGGCATATCAATCAATGCCATGACCAGTGAATTACCTACTGGTGTCTCTGATATGTTACTGCAGAGATTACACTTCATGCATCACCACATTCATTTCTTTCACATTACACATGAGCTTGTCTTGTCACTGCCCAATTGCCCTCTTTTGGACAGCTTAACTGATGTACTATAACAATGAACCTTAGTGAGCAAACTTAATAGTATAGGAGCAGTAGGAAAAGATGAGAGGTTGAAGCCTGAGTCCAATGGGTGTGTCGGAACAGCCTGCGAGGTTTCTAACAATAAACCCGAAGGTGTAATTAATGCACGTTATAACATTTTGCAAGCACAAAAATGCATTAGCCGATGTGTCCTTTCTTCTCCCCTCGTACTGCTCTGTTACCAAATCTTCTATTTTGACAGCCATGGAGATGCTGATTATGTATCCGGTAGGCAAACAGTAATGGCAAAAAGGGGAGGAGGGCCAGGAGGGACATTAGAGGAGAAAGCCCAGTTTCAACACTGAAAACATAAACCAAAACAGAAAACCCCGGAAGAGATCTAAGCTGGGTGTGGCTGACTCAAGAGAAGATTCAAATGTAGACATGCCTCACTGGCTCCACTCGACACTGAAAGTTGCTGAACAAATGAGCATGTCTTAATCACCATGAAGAAGGTACCACATTTTCAACCCGCTTCAGAAGGCAACTGAATCCAAGACACCAAAGGCATTAGCTACCAGCCTTTAAGGCCCATACACATACATCCGAGCCTACTGCAACTGTCAAGCCCAAGGGGACTGAAATGTGCTGTGCATGTACAGGACAGGGGAATTGTATTTCAAAACACAGCATGACACTCCCTTCCTTCCATACTTTCTGCATTCTGGCTCTGAATAATCCATGTGCATTCACATTACACATGTCAAAGGGTTGCTTAAACCATGAGGATATCCTAAAACGGTTAGAAATCCTCTTTTGTTTCTGATGTCCAACACCCACTGTAATAACACATCAGTGGCTTTTCAAAAGAAATCTTTAAATCCATGAACTCTTGCTGCTTCTCGAGGAACTCTAGTTTTTGAAGAGCAAGAGGTAGAAGTGCTACCTGTTCTCATGAGTATAGAAGGTGCTCAAAAAAACCAACTGACGAATGCAAACAAGGAATGGAAAAAAAAAAGAAAACCCAACAAAAGAGATTACTCTTAGCATAGAGAATAAACCCGAATTTATCCCGAGAACTGAAAAAGTGCCATTTCAAAAGCATCACTCAGCTTTACAACAGAATGAGTTACAACGATAGAAAATATACCTTACACCGGCTCAACAAAAGCCTTCAAGAAAATTCATCTGGGATTCCAAACGGACAATGCTCGATCGGATTGAAATGGTCCGTAAGTCAAAGTCGCACTGCTTTCCCCTAGCCCAAGAATGTGCCAGGGTGGGATTCCTCTGCTACTGCGCAGCATCAGACCACCCCGTAGGTCTTCACTTTGGCATCCATGAACAAGCCCTTCGGCTTCTACGAAGCTCCCTCCTCAGGACCTCATCCAGCCTTGCCTCTGAAGTTGGTATGTGCTTGTTCTGGATGGACCACGTCCTTACTGACGGGCTGGGGTATACCACCAGACAGCCCGCCGCCTCGGCCCCGCCGTCTGGGCGGGGCGGCACCTGCCGCGTCACGGACGCTTACCTTGAGCGAGCGGCTGGAGGGGAAGGGCAGGCTGCCCTGGCTGAATGGTAAGAAGGCCTTGGCGCTGTAAAGACAGGAGGTGCTGCTGTTGCAGCTGCTGCATCTGGAGGAGTTGCTGCTGAAAGGCCAGCTGCTGGGTGGCCACCTGCGGCTGCTGCAAGAAATCAGGGAGAGAGAAAATGAGCCGGCCACTTCCCGAGCAAGGTTCGGAGGACGGACGTTTCAAAACACGCCGCCGCCGTCGTCAGACACCGACGATGGCGGCTGGGGTCTAGTGGAGGGCTTGGTTGTCAGGGCTGGTGTGACAGGGACAGGACACAGAGCATCTGAAGAGCAGGGGGGGGGGGGGTGTGGAGGGGGGCTGCGTGTACCCCCCCCTCTGCTGCCGGTGGCACAGAAAAATAACTCGCCCATCAAGTCAGCTTTTCCTCCAGTTTGAAAGGCCTGAGTGTTTCTGGTCGAGATGTGACCGTCCAGACTTTGAAATGTTTAATGATTCACGCCACAGAGAAGGCAGGCACCATTCCGGTCTGGAGGGATTTGAACCCTGAACCTCGGAGAGTACGGAAGAGCCAGCCGCCTTCCTCTTGCCTGCACCAGGAGCTTTTAAACTACTGTTTATCACTCCCGACATAAATAAATGAGACAAAATCAGACCTTTGAAGAAGAAAAACTTCATCTAATATTGTTAATTAGCCATGACAAACGATGAAATAACACTGTAAATCTTTCATAGAAACAGCCACTAGATTTTAATTACATACATTCATAATTTAGCAAACAACATCGTACTCGACTGTTGAGTGTTTAATGTGAAGGACACTTTAAGCTTCAGATGCCTTAACTTGGCTTTAGTTTCAGAAACCCCCAGGTCGGGCTCCCCTGTCCTGCTTCCCCACCCGCTTTGTTCTTGAAAAGAAGGGGCTTTACGGTATGATAAATATCTTTTTGTTGATTGGACAATGACAGGAGGAAAACTTTTGTTGTGTAAAACATCAATACATCATTCCTGTGTTTAGCAGGCCTCGCTCCAGCCAAAAAAAATTAATGTAGATTTCCTCAGTAATTATCTGAGTGATAGAAAGATAATACAGTGCAGTAGTACAATAAATAGAAGGAAATTATCTAATATCCTTAATCTGCTAGGAATCAAATCGAGGTGGAGGTCTTAGCCACATTATGGCTAACAATTACGAAAGGAGAATTAACCCTTCCCAAACTGTAGCCAAAAAAAAAAAAAAAAGATTCTTTAAGAAAAAAAAAAAAGATTCCATTTTC